GCGGTGCTGTGCAGCCTGCTCTGGGTGACCCTGCTTGGGCAGGGGGTTGGACTGGATGACCCACAGAGGTCCCTTCCAAACACTAACATTCTGTGATTCTGTGATTCTGTGAAGCGTGAGTGGTGGACCAGCAGACAATTCACATGACGCTGGCTTCTTTGCTTTTAGCCAGCGCCCGTATCCCTTCCCTCTCCTCCTCTTATCCTCCATCGCTCCTCCTTTTTCGACTGCATGTTACATGTACCCGTTCCTCCTTTTACTCCGGTGGAGGTAAAGACCGCTCTTTGCTAGAAGGAGCCATGCTTTCTGTCCGACAGGTTTGCCCGCGGAACCTCATGGGTGTCTCTCTTTCTCTCTTTCTCTCTGTCGGTCGCTGGTGCAGAGCCGTGGAATGCTGTGAAGACTCACTGCCCTGCAGCCCCAGGCAGACTCCTCGTCGGATTATCTCCATCCGAAGGAAGCTCGTAGCCAAGAGGTATCAATTTGTGTTTTCTGCGTGCCCTTCAGTTGAGTTTAGATACTCCTCCAAAAACCTTTCTCCCTTCTCCCTCCCCGGACAGAAAAGCTTTGGATGCCACAGAGATCGCAAGCGTTGATTAAAAAGTGTTTGTATTAAATGAACTTTGGTACAGAGTCACGTTACATTTGCAAATGAGCAAGTAGTTTCTGGGTCAAGAAATGCATACGCTAAAACTCCAGCAACACTGTATGTCTAGTGTCTTTTATTGCGTTGATTTATGAAGTTAATAACCCTACGGTAATCAGCAGACTGCAGCAGAGCACACAGTAGGTATGTGCTGCTCCTATAAAGGACTGTGAGAGTTAGGTGGTTTTTTTAGTGTTTATTATTCTTAATACCTTCTTAGTACATAATCTATTTTTGTCTTATATTAAAAAGAAGGCAAAAAGTGCTGCTTGGATTTTCTAGCTGGGTGGAAATCAGTGGGTTGGCAAAGGCAGGATTCCTGGTACAGATTTCTGTCCTTTGCCTGGAGACAGGCAAATGATTTTCTAATAGTTTACGTTGGAGCCTTTCATAAAAGAAAGCTAGAAACATTTTTTTTAAAACAGAAACTTTGCAGTGTTGTGCGGTCTGTAAATTGGTCAGAGCAGCTTCTGTCTTGGCTCTTTGCTTTTGTGTCTGGTGCGCTGTGAGACCTGAACAGGTCAAGCCCTCTGGACATTTATCTATAAGAAAACCAAAGATGTTATAATAGTGGTATGATGTGATACACAGCGAGCTATCAAACACGAACGTACCGCTTCAGGAAATCCCTCTGCTGCACACAGTTACGGGCTGGAAAGCGCGCTGGGCAAACGTCGCTGTACGGCTGCCACGTGCTCAGGTTTGCCCCTGGGTATTCGCGCTCGCTGGTTGCTGCGGAGGAGACGCTGGGAGGGCTGAAGTGTCAGTCTGACCCGATCCGGCCGTTCTTCTGCCAGAGCATGGAAAAAACAGGACTGATTCTTGTTTTTTTTGCTTTTTTTCTTTTCCCTTTTATTTATTTTGCTGCTTGCTTAGTAACAGGAACTTTAAATGTCAGCTGCCAGGATACCCACTGAGAGTTCCGCTCCCACTCATGTCAGATTTGCTGCAAACCAGATGCAGACAACAACAGTGCCGACGGGTGCTCTCCGCTCTTGGATCCGCTGCGCTGCGCCGGGATCGAGCGCTCAGGCGTGCCGCGACCCTGATCCTTCCAATATTTTAGCACGCAGAAGCGCTCCAGCCCTGCTTTGGGAAAAACCTGCCCTGATTAGATGCCTGCTCTTTGGGTATGGCCAAAACCAGGCTCTTGTTTCTTCCTCCTCCCACCCTCAGCAGCTCAACCCT